AAACACAGAAGCTTAACTATTCAGAAAAATACCGATTTATCTGATTTATTTTATTTATTTTAGTAACTTTATTTACTTTAGCTCCGATTACAAACACTTTATTTAAACCAATTTATGTGCTAAACGCGCTCGCGCGCTCCAACATCTCTAAACATCACTATTATTATTATTATTATTATTATTATTATTATTATTATTATTACTGTACTAAATTATAATCATATAGACGTTTTAGTGAATAATGTTTTGAGTAAACTGAGTTTATTTATTAAAATAATGATAATACGTGAAGCTTCCTGGTTGCTCGCGCGACAGAAACAGCTGTTTATTTTCCCACACTAATAATAATAATAATAATAATAATAATAATAAATAAATAAAATAATAGTAATTAAAATATTAATGTTGATATTGATAAGAGTAATTTTATAAATGCTAAAGAAATTAATAATACTAATAATAAATAAATACAATAACACTAATAAAAATATTAATAGTGATATTGATACAGAGAGAGAGAGATGTAGAGAGGGAGAGAGACAGACGGAGAGAAGGATGAGGGGAGAGAGGGAGAGGGAGAACAGTGAATAAAGGTGTGTAAGTGAGATAAGGTGATGTGAGATCAGGGCTTTGTGTCTGTTGATCTGCTGTGTTTCTGTGTGGTTTAAAGTTAGTGAGTGTTTTTCAGGGTGAAGTTTCAGTGTGTAAATATGATGTAACACACACACTCTTACACACACACACACACACTGTCACACACACACACACACACACACACACACACACACACACACACTGTCACACACACACACACACACACACACACACACTGTCACACACACACACACACACACACACACACTGTCACACACACACACACACTGTCTCACACACTGTCTCACACACACACTGTCTCACACACACACACACACTGTCTCACACACACACACACACTTTCTCACACACACACACACGTTTAGACGTTTAATCGTGTCATATTTTGGTTCAGTGCAGTGTGAGAGTGTGTGTGAGTGTGTGTGTGTGTGAGTGTGTGTGTGTGTGAGTGTGTGTGTGTGTGAGTGTGTGTGTGTGAGAGTGTGTGTGTGTGAGAGTGTGTGTGTGTGAGAGTGTGTGTGTGTGAGAGTGTGTGTGTGTGTGTGTGTGGCGCCCCCTGGTGTTGTACACAGTGTACAGCTGCTCATTTCTTTGCATTTACAAGCAGATCATGTCTGAGTCATTAGTCGCGTTTACATGGACACTTTTTGTTTCAATCGGAATGAAATCAGTCAGATGGATTAATCCGATCGCAGTGTTTACAAGAACGCTGAATAAAGTAATCGGGTTGATATGCGTGTTTACGTGACAGAATCGGATTTGATCTTCTGACATGCGCACAGTTAAAATGCCCCTTCCCGAGCCCAGAGCAAGGACTGGTGGGACAACGTCGTCTTGCACCACTTCACAGACGAGGAGCGTCATACGTCATTACGTGATTTGTACGT